TGTCTGACCCGTTGTGATATCCAGCATTTGTTGTTTTCAGTACAGATTCCAGAATCTGCAGTAATTTGCTCCAACAGGTCTCTAGTTATCCTGGGTTATCCTTTGCCTCTTTCTTAAACAATGGTGTCACATCTACAAATCTCTAGCCTCTCAGGGGTGTGTTCAGAGAGGCCTGGAAAATTTCCATCACTGTTTCCATGATTTGCTCCTTTACCTCCCTCACCATCCCATCCGGGCCTGGTGACTTCTCTACTTGGAATGCTGCCAGCCTTTTTAGCACCTTTTCTTTATTAATCACTAAACTGCTTGGCTGCTCAACACTCACATTTTCAACTGAGTGGTTATCACTATTTTTTAGTTTGGTAAAGACAGAAGCAAAGTATTCATTTAGTACCTCTGCCATACCCTTTTATTTACCCTTCTTGTTCCTTATGGGTCCCCCTCTTCTCTAACTTTTTACTGTTAGAACATTTTACTATTTGTTTCAAGCCAGCCTGTCACCTTTTCCTCTTGCTTCCTCTTAGCCTTCCTTATTCCAGCCTTGGATTACCTCCTGCATTTGTGATACTCTTTGTGATCTCTATTGCTGTTATTATTTCACTCTGCATCATATTCCACAGTTTGCCTACAAATGCTCTCTTCTACTTTGTCCCCAGTATTTGGAGGTCTATAATAAATAGCCAACAATGTTAACGTTCCCTTCCTGTTTCTCACCTCCAGCCATATACGTTCTAATTCAGGAACTATCTCATTCAACAGCAGCAATACAATCTTTGCCCAAGACTGCTACATCTCTCTTTTCACTGTTCCTGTTTCTACTAACAACCATATAACCTAGTTTAAATATCCAATCCTGTTCTGGCTTGAGCCACATTTCTGTCAATGCTACTATGTTATATCGCCCTTGACCAAATTCTGCTTCCAGTTCCCTAATTTTGTTCATTATACTCTGTGCACTTACAAACATACAATTTAACCATGCCCTTATCTCTTTCTGGTCTACTGGGAGGCACTGTAATGCTCAAGCCTTCCCTCATTTCCATTTCCCCAACCTACATCTTCTCCACTTTACCCTCACTGGTACTAATAAAACTTCTAAATCCACCCCACTACATTGTTTACTCTCTCAGCCAGTTCCATTCCACCTCTTCTCTACAGCTTTCTCCTTTCCCAAAGGTAATCTCAATGTCCCAAAAATCTAAACCCCTACCCTCTACACCATCCCTCAAGCCACGCATTTACCTGCCTGATCTGCCTTTGCCTAAATGGTGAAGCCTGTGGAAAAGGTGGCATTTCTGAGATGTGTGGTCTTCAGCAAGGAGAGTCACTGCTCCAAATCAGCCACATGTTTTTTCAAGTTGCTACCTTCTAGCACTTCATGCAGATGTGACTGTCCCTGAATGTCTTGTGATCTAAAGCTGCCCACATTTTACTTGCCACACACATCACAAGCTTTCCCAGAGTCTCTGCCATCTTTACTGGTCAAGATGATGCACACTGTTGACGCTCTGCTGTTTCTAAGCCACAGAGAAATTTTCTAACAGCCTTCTTCTCTCTTTTTGTTTCAAGGAGGGAGCAGGGAGGGAAATACTGCAGTAATGTAATGCTTGGGGCTAAACCATTCTTTGACACCATTCCTTGAGCACGATGACTTCTCCTAGAATCCTCCTCAGTCAACTCTCACTACCATCCTCTGCTCAATTCAGTGAGAGTTTAACTGTTTATGTACTGTGACTGTAAAAGACAGATCGACAGACATATTTCCTAAGGTTTTGAAAAGTAAAGAGAGCAGTATTTATGCCTTAACATCTAAATTTAAATTATCAGTGTTCCAACCATCTTACAGATCTGCATTGGGAGCTCATGAGTGAGAAAGTCTTAAGGTGTAATTTTAATCTTAACTTAGAGTAACTCACTAAATAGATAATAAAATGACAATTTAGTGATTTTGTTTTGACTGCAGCTTTAAATCAAAGAAATACAAGCTCTAAAAGAGGATTTTGAACAATTTGTGTTCCTCCTCTTTTGGATGTTGACTTTTCCCTTCAAGGGTCTGTCACATAGTTTACCAATGTGAAGGTCTTCCTGTGGGGGTTGATGTGAGTCTTAACAGGAATCTCTTTGAATTCTACTCTGGTCACCCTGGTATCCCACACGTGATTCTAGAATAGTCAAGGTTGTTGTTTCTACAGGTATCCTCTGATTTATGTCTGAGATCTGGCCCCATTTCAATCTTATCCTTTTTGAGAGAACTATTTCATCCAGTGATGGTGAGTGGAGGGGCAAAGATTTTCCAGGACATTCAGTTGGAGACCCAGAGCCATGGAGTTGTGACTGGGCAGTTATGAGTCTTGGACCTGAGTAGCCTATGGTTTGGGTTAAGCAAAGTTACCCTCACAGGTGCTTCATCTTTACTTTCTTGGCATACTCCAGGCCTCTGTTTGTGATAGGTCAAGTAGGTCATGATTTAATTGTAAAGTACAAGTAGCATGATCACATTTTGTGGATTATCTTTAAAACTATTTAGAGATAAGCTAAGATATGTTATTCTGGTATCAGTTGCCTGTTTTGTGTTGTGTTTTATGGTTAATATGTATACTTAGAGGTAATTTAAGCATTCTGGTATCATAGGCTGTATCTTACACAGAGAAAAGGTAAAGCATGACATGCTACTGGAAGGGCACTCTCTGTTGTAATCTAATAGCTGAAGATTAATATATTGATACCAGAATAGGTTTCTAAATTATGCAACAAGCCCAGATCATCCAAAGGCATTGCTGTCCATGTGGCTACATTCTGAGGAAACAGAAACCAACCCAGACCAACGTACGGCATGCCAATCATGGAGGAAGATCATGGAATGAAGATAATTGTGCAGGGATTTTGAGCGAAAGCTACCAATTCAGGGCAAGTCATCAAATCTCCAAAGCATTTAATTGAACTTTGAAAATTGAAAATTTGTGTCCATGTAAAATCATACGCACCTCTTTAGGATGATAAAAACTATTTGAGTCTACATTAATTCTAAATTGTATAGATTTATATTGAAGAACTTAAGTAGTAAGGCACAATGGAAACTGTTAATGACAATGTTAAACAACAGAAAATACAGTCATATTCCTAATAGAGAATGCAGTTTTAAAATTCAGTTATTGTTACAATCAAATATTTTAGATATCTATAAATTGTTAAAAATACATATCAATGAAACATTCAAGTGAGAGTCAAGTCAAAGACAGTCAGTTGGAAGGGGAGGGGAGGAAAAACAAAACCAGACTGGCAAGGGGCGAATATGAGACTAAGATGGTGGTCAGCATAAAATGGAACCCACCATGTGATAAGAGGCAGGGTGTGTCCTATACAGGTCAAAAGGGCAATCGATATTTCTAGGTATAGCAAAGGGCTCAAGTACCAGCTAAGGACTTGATTTCTTGTTTACTAAGGATCTGGAATTTGACAAAATACTATTAGAAGTGGAGATAGTAGAAGAAGTGGACATAGTTGAAGAAGTGGAAGCTGGGGTGAAATTGAGAGGCAGAAGGGGTTTTCTTGATTCATTTGTTGGATCACCACTCATTACAACAGATATGAGGGTCCTTGAGGGGCTGCAGAAGAGATTTGCCAGAATGATTCCAGTGAAACCTCACCGTAAATCTTCCCAGATCAACTCTCAAGGGATTGATGTTGATGTTTATTTCAGATTCCTCATATTATCTTCCTGTTTTGGTGCTGTTAGCATTCCACAACTGTTTGCTATTTCCTTCTGAATTGAAATTTTAATATGTAGTACTTTACTATCTTCACTTGTCTGTGCAATTTTGTCTATTTGGCTGTGACAGTCTAACAATCAAAATCTATTTAGAGGTACTTTCTATTCAACCTGCTCAGCGATGTTATGACACACCTCTGGGGTAGGTGGGACTTGAACCCTGGACTTCTGACACAGAGGTAGGGACACTACCACTGTCACAACAGCTCCTTACAAATTAACATATGTCCTAGGGAGATTGAAGGATTCTTGCTCCTGGATTTAATAAGGTTCTGTTATACATATGGCTACTCTAATCTCTAATTGCTGTCTTGAAACTTAGCCATGATGTGGAGATGCTGGTGTTGGACTGGCGTGGACAAGGTCAAAAATCATACCACACCAGGTTATAGTCCAACAGGTTTCTGTGAAAACACAAGCTTTCGGAGTCTTTGTCCTTCTTCAGGTTTTAGTGAGATAGGTGGCATCAGACACAGGTTTTATAAGTAAAAGATCAAAGAGTCATAGGACTGATGCAATTGCATTGAATGAACCTAAAATGTCTGTTAAATCTTTAATCAGTTAGGAAGGATTATGATCTTTTACTTATAAAATCTGTGTCTGATGCCACCTCTCTCACTATCACTTGAAGAAGGAGCAAGACCCTGAAAACTTGTGTTTATAACCCAGTGTTGTGTGATTTTTGACCTTGAAACTTAGCAGCAGCTTTAAACAACACTATCATAATTATCACGATTAAACCAGCACATCCCTAGTTACACATCAGATGCTATTTTGGAATCACCACTAAATCTAAGGCTTTCCCTACCATGTAGAATAAACAGTATTAGCTGCTCCTTGATGTTGATCTGTAGGTGGATATTGCAAATGATAGAAAATAGCATCAATGCCAGTCTCTCAGCAAACAAAAACACCAATGACTTGCAGAACAAAATAACGAAAGAATTGCAGATGTTGGAAATCAGAAACAAAAAATGAAATTGCTGGGAGAACTCAGCATCTGTGGAGAGAAAGCAGAGTAAATGTTTCAGATCCAGTGACCTTTCTTCAAAATGTGAATTTCTCCAGCAATTTTTGTTCTTGTTTCAGATTTACAGCATCCACAACTTTCTGCTTTATTTTACATGGTCATTATGCTGCGAGACTGGCTGAGTTTTCCCAGCAATTTCTGTTTTTGTTCCAGTCTCTCAGTGCTCTCTGGTGCCTCCTTTTGGCTCCTTTGTATATTAATTCATGGTTTCCCCTCCATGCTTTCACTCTGCCACGCTCTCCTCTTTACTGGAGCCTGCTGCCGACTCGTCACTCGATCCTGCCCTTCTTCACTTTTGGGCCTTGGTTTGGCTGCAGGTTCTGAACTCCATACTGCTCTCTGACCGATACCTGCTGACAGTGGTGGTCCTGACTGCCAGGCTCTTCGCCCATGAACATCACTAGACCTGGAGCCATCTGGTAGAGCACTGTGAGCTGATTGGGCAATGACTGCACAGTACTCACGAGCTGGGCCTGTGCTTGGTCGGAGGCTGGAAACGGCCGAATCAGAAACGGCACTGCATGCCCTGGGCACAGGGAGGCTTCGTCTCTCTGCTTTGCTGTTTTCATTCTTGCCCAGAGTCTGTCTCCTTTGGTTGATTCTGTGCTGCACTTTCTCCAAGTCACTCTCAATCCGGTACAAGTCATCGGTGACTTTATTGACACGGTCAAACTGACCGAGGAGGCTGTTGACAGTTGGCAGCAACCGATCCAGATAGGCTTCAACATTGTAGATCTCCGAGGTTGGACTCTTTGGCAGAGTCAGCTCCTCGGATTGCACGGAGCCTGACAAGATGGTGCAGTCTGAGAATGGAGACTCAGTACTTTCTGATGCAAGTTGAGATAATCTCAGGGTTTGGGAAGTGCCTGTCGGCAATGACTCCATCCCTTCAAATTTCACCTTGTGTCGAAACTGCAAAAGATTGCAAAAAGCTTCAGCAAGGATCAACATTCACAAAGGTTAAACAAGAGTCATTTTCTAATTACATGATCAGGGATGTTATTACACACCTAGAGAGTAGGTGGGAACTTGAATCTGGGCCTTCTGGGGTTAGAAGTCGGGGCACTATCTCTGTGCCATAAAAGTCCCCAGTCCCATCATTTATTGCTATCAGCTGGGCAAGTGAACAATGGCCTGGTCAAGAGGGCAAAGATCCAGTTGTCTGATTGGTTTCATTATTTATCTTCATTACTCACTGCAGGGTTACTAACCTATTCCCTATCTGAGACAGAGATGCTGGAGCAGTTGCCAGGGTGTACTGTGGCTCAGCAGCAACACTTGTGGTTTCAAGTCCTACTCTGGAGATTTAACAGCATAGTCAGTCCTGGCTAATTTTAGTAACACCAAAGCAGTGCTGTACTGTTAGAGCTGCAGTCATGAGCCAGTAACAAAGGTCCCGTCTGCTCTCTCAGATGGACATAAAAGGCCTTATGGTGCTTTTCGAAGAATAGGGAGAATCTGCCCATTCACTGCTTGATATTTATCTCTCATTTAACATCAGTAAAACAGCTGGCTATGGGTTTAGAAGGCTCTGTCTAAGGGGCCTTGGTGAATTACTGCAGTGCATCTTGTATATTGTACACACCGCTAATATTGAGCATTAATGGTGAAGGGAGGGAATGTTTAAGATGGGAAATAGGGTACCAATCGAATGGGCTGTTTTGTCTTGGATGATGTCAAGCGTCTTTACTATTGAATCTGCACTCATCCAGGCAAGCGGGGAGTATTCTATCCCACTCCTGACTTACAGATTGTGAACAGATTTTGGGGGGTCAGGAAGTAAGTTATTCAACACGGAATTCTGAGCCACTGACCTGCTTTCGTAGATGCTTTGTTTATACGGCTAGTCCAGTTTGGAACATTAATAGTAGGGATTTCAGTGATGATAATGCCAGTGAACGTGAAGGAAATGGTTATTGTGAGAGATGGTTATTGATTGGCATGAATGCTACTTGCCACTCTCCAGCCCAAGCCTGAACATTGTCTCGCTGGAACTTGACTTCTTCAGTTTCTGAGGAGTTTTGAGTGACTGAACAATGGGCATTAATGAACAAACCCACTTCTGACTTTATGATGGAGGGAAGGACATTGATGATGCAGCTGAAGATGGTTGGATCTAGGAGACTACCCTGAGGAACTCCTGCAAAAGTATCCTGGGGATGAGATGACTGACCTCCAACAACCACAACCCTCTTCCTATGTGCCAGGTATCACTCTAACCAATTGAGGAGTTTTCCCCTGATTCCACCTGAATTCAGCTTTGCTATAGCTCTTTCATGCCACACTCAGGCTGAGCACAGGGGAATTAATTCACTAAATCATGGAACTGTGAAGGAGGGAGAGCATTGTACAAGAGAACTCAGGAAATCGGAATAGGAGGCCTGGAGCCTGAGAGAGGAGCAGTAGGATAGAAGATAAGAGGAAATGTGGGGGGTTGGAGTTGGAGAGATAAGTGGGGTATTGGAAATAGAGTGGGAAGTGAAGAAGTAGGAGAACGGGGTACCGGAAATGGATTTGGAAGTGGGGGAGTGGGGGATTGGAGTTGGAGGGATTAACGGGGTATTGGAGATGAAATGTGGGATTGGTGATGAAGTGGGGGGTGGGAGATTGGCGATGAAGTGGAGAGTACGGGGTTAGAGATGGAGTGGGATGTGGGGGATTTGAGATGGAGTGGGATGTGGGGGATTGGACATGGAGAGGACGATAGGCATTTGAGATAAAAAGATTATAAAGCTTGGAAATGGGGAGAAGAGTAGGAGTGGAGTTAGACAGAGGGGTGGGGCGAAGCTCAAGTTGGAGACAGAGTGAGAAAAGTGGAAATGGCATTAATAAGCGCAGAATACCATGACTGGGTTAAGGGCAGGTGAATGTGTTCACCTCAGAGTACTCCACCCTTCTGTCCAGGGAGGTCACTACCTCATAGCCCAGCACAGCATCTTGGTAAAGGTCAGGGCCAGCTCCAAACATTCCAGTAACACAAACTGGCTGCAGCATTCAGTCAAGCCTGCAGCTCCAGCTGATTGATCAGATAGGTCGATGTTTCTCTGGCAAGCGTGATATTTACCTCCTTTGTCTTGGTGAGTCCTATCCAGAGTTTGAACCTCTTAATGAAGAATTCGATCATCTCGTAGTCTTGTGGTTCAATGGCTGGGCGGTACATTTCTGCTTTGAGCTCTCTGTAACTCTGGTTGATAATGGCACTGAAGAAGTTTCTCGCTATCCACATCAGACACAGCAGGTAGCTGAAGAAGTAGAGGGGTGCAATTATGGGGTAATGGTGGACTGCATGTCGGAGGGACAGAGTTCCTCGGGGGAAGACAACCAAAGTCAGCAGAGAGCTGCTGAACGTCACAAAGTGTTCCAGAGCAGGAGAGAACACCTGGAGGGAAAAGAAGGGAAGAATAGTTGGGGGCATTACCTCGGACAGAAAAAACAACCATTGAAGTTCCAACATGAAAACAGGATGTTAGGCCCTGCCTCTCAGTTTCTTCTCCAGACGTGGTCCCAATCTCATCTTTCTGCTTTATCCTCCTTTATATCAAGCATCCACCTAATCTCCTCTTAAATGGAAGGATGATATCACTTTCAATCACAGACTCTACAGTAAGTCCCAGTTTAAGGAGCTTTTCTGGAATGGCAGTGAATTACTGGGGCCTGTTATCATGTTCAAATCCCGTGCTATCATGTCCAATATTCAAAAAGGGAGGTAGAGAGAAAACAGGGCATTATAGAGCACTAAGTCTAACATCAGTAATGAGGAAAATTCTTGAATCTGTTACCAAAACTTAATAGCTGAGCATTTAGAAAGCATTGGCAGGATCAGACAGAGTCAGCATGGAATTGTGAAGGGAAAATCATGCTTGACAAATCTGTTGGAATTCTATGAAGATGTAACTAGTAGAGTTGACAAGGGAAAGCCAGTCGATGTGGTATATTTGGAGTTTAAGAAAGCGTTTGACAAAGTCCTGCATATGAAATTATTCTGCGCAATATTAAAGTGCATGGGATTGGGGGAAGTGTATTGAGATGGTTAGAAAACTGGTTGGCAGAGAAGAAACAAAGAGTAGGAATTAATGGGTCATTTTCAAATTGGCAGGCAGTAACTAGTGGGGTATCACATGGATCAGTGCTGGGACCCCAGCTATTCACAATAAACATTAATGATTTGGATGAGGGAACAAAATGTAACATCTCAAAGTTTGCTGATGATACCAAGTTGGGTGGGAGGGTGAACTGTGATGAGGATGCAGAGATCCTTCAGCATGACCTGGACAGGTTGGGTGAGTGGGCAAATCATTGGCAGATGCAGTATAATTTGGATAAATGTGAGGTTATTCACTTTGGAAGCAACAAAAAGAAGGCAGATTACTTCCTGAATGGCTGTAAATTGGGAGAGGGGAGTGTGCAGCAGGACCTGGGTGTCCTTGTGCACCAGTTGCTGAAGGTAAGCATGCAGGTGCAGCAGGCGGTAAAGAAGGCAAATGGCATGTTGGTCTTCATTGCGAGAGGTTTTGAGTACAGGATGTGTTGTTGCAGTTATACAGGGCCTTGGTGAGGCCACACTTAGAATATTGTGTGCAGTTTTGGTCACATTTTCTGAGGAAGGATGCTCTTGCTCTTAAGGGAGTGCAGCAAAGAATTACCAGGCTGATTCTGGGAATGACGGAACTGACGTATGAGGATGTTCCCAATGGTGGGTGTGTCCAGAACCAGAGGTCACAGACTGAGGATTCAGGGTAGACCATTTAGGACAGAGATGAGGAGACATTTCTTCACCTAAACAGTAGTGAACCTGTGGAATTTATTACCACAGGAAATAGTTGATGCCAAAACATTGAATGTATTCAAGAGGTGACTGGATCTAGCACTTGGGGTGAATAGGATATGCAGAGAAAGCAGGATTAGGCTATTGAGTTGGATGATCAGCAATAATTGTGATGAGCAGGCTCGAAGGGCTGAATGGACTCCTTCTGCTCCTACTTTCTATGTTTCTTTATTCAGCATGCTCAAATCATTTTAACGTAATTTGCCACCTGACCTGATTGGCACCAAATTGGAACTCCCCTCTAATCCTGCAACATGCAGCCTTCTCCTCTTCCCAACACCCCAAGACGTTACATTCCCTTAAACCAGGCCGCACCATGGTGAATCTCACCACCAGCTCCCATCACCCTGCACTATCTCAATATCTGTCTCAGTGACCTTAAACTCTGAATGAATAGACATTTCTCCCAGAACAACATTGCAAAGAATAAAGCCATGCTGGGCTACTGGTAAATTTGTCTCCCACAGGCAACTGCTAAAGGATGAGACTAAAAGAGGAAAGTTTGGATACCAAGGAATGATCACAGATGTTTGGTCTGGTCAGTAATCCCAGTTAAGATTCTTTGAGAAAATAACATCAGTATCTTTTCAGTCTAAGGGAGGCTGGAGAGAACAACTAACCTCGACATTCAGGAATCACAGATACAGTGAGAATGAGTCCTGTCTGACGAATGATCAATTTTATTCAAGAATTATAGGCCTTAAAGAAGCAAAGCACTCAGGATGTGCTGAGTTTGTAGATCCACGTTTGTGACCCAGGAAGGTGCCAATTGTGTGCTATTGCTTGAGCAGTGACTGCTGAAATGCAACTTAAAAAAAGATGATGGGGATAAACGTGAAGTTATCCACTTCAAGAAGGAAAACAGAAGAGCGGTGTATTATTTAACTGGTGGTAGATTGGCAAATGTTGATTTACAAAGGTGTAATGTACAAGTGTGACCTCATACACTAATTACTGAAAGTAAGTACGCAGTTGCTGCACAGGGTCTTGTTGAAATGGTACAGGTATGAGATTGCAGGTATTGTTCAACAACATGTCCACCTTCTTGACCAAAAACTGCTTATAACCATGACAAACTGCCTGGCTTCGTGCCTGCTCTAAAAGATAAGTCTGGTTCAAAGTTCTGTGAGCCTTTAAGTTCTGGATCAGAAGGCAAAGTGCCAAAAGGTAAGCAGTGATGCAGTGAGCACTTAAGATTCACAAAGTGAGTGAGTGCTGGGATGCTCCCAAATCCAAACCATGAGTTAGGTTTCCTGTTCCTGAGTGCAGTTCCTTACAGCAGCGTTCCAATGATAGGTGCCAGAGCTCCCCAAGGTGCAGCATTAAAGTGCTGGAGCATGCTATAAGTGGATTGAGATGTGCCATGAGGAAGTAGTGAGGCTGAGACATGTTGAATGCCAATGTCCATGGATGTAGGGTTAATGTGGTTGCTGCCCATGGAGTCTGCTCAAAGACATTGGTACTGGGTGTCCGATAAAGATAAAAGTTAAAGATGCTACTAAATTGAAGGAGAAGGCCTATAAAGTTGCCAAAAATGTTGAAAATTTGAAGATTGGGAAAACTTTAGAATTCAACAAAGGTGCGCCAAGAAATTGATAAAGAGGAAGAGAATAGAAATATAAAATAACAAGGACCTAAAAACAGATTGTAAAATCTTCCACAAGTGGCAGGAGGATTCATAATAGCAAAAACAGAAATTTCAGAGAAACTAAATAAGTACTCTTATAAGTACATTTTCTGAAGAAGGGTCCAGACCCGAAACATCAGCCTTCCTGTTCCTCTGATGCTGCTTGGCCTGCTGTGTTCATCCAGCTCTACACCTTGTTATCTAAGTACTCTGGGTCTGTTTTCACAGAGGAAGATACAAGAAATTTCTCCAAAATAATTAAACTCCAAGGGTCTTGTGGGAATGTTGAACTGAAAGAAATTAGTATTAGTAAAAACAAACTATTTGGGAACTTAATGGGACTACAAGTTGACAAATGACCTAATAACTTCAACTTAGACCATTGAAAATAATGTTTAAAGAGGCTACAGAAACAGTGGACCCATTGGCTGATTACCCTTTAATTTATTTTTGCCATTCTGCACTGCAGATTAGAAAATTGCAAATGTAACTCCAATATTTAAGAAAGGAGGGAGAGAGAAACTGGAACCAAGATATTTGTAAGCCTAATGTCAATGATAGGGAAAATACTGGAACTTATTATAAAAGATGTGATTACTGGATATTTAGAAAGTATTTGTATAATTGAATTGATCAATGCAGATTTATGAAGGGAAAATACCTGAAAAATCTAATCAAGATTTTGAGGATATTACCAGCAGGGTCAATAAGGGGGAAGCAAATGGATGTGGTGTACTGGAATTTGGGAAGATTTTTGATAGAATCCCATATGAGTTTAAGTAAAATTAAAGTACATGGGATTGAGAGTAATATGCTAGCATGGACTGTTTCTGCCTGTTTCTATTTGCTTCGGAGTAAATGGATCTTCTCACATTGGCAGACTGTGACCAATGATGTACCTTTAAGTTATATCTTTCTTTTCCTTAATTTTAAATTATTCAAAATGGCACCAAATTGTGGTGACAAATGAAAGCTTTTCATTGTATTTTATCGTATTCTTACTGTAAAATACATGTGACAATAAAATAATTCATTCATTCCTCAAGGATCAGTGCTTGGGCCACAGCTGTGCACAAGCTGTATCAATGATTTGAATGTGGGAACCATCTGTAATATTTCCAAACCTGGTGGGAATGAGAGTTGTGAGGAGGATGCAAAGAGGCCTCAAGGACATTTAGATAGGCTGAGTGAATGAGCAAGAGGATAGCAGATACTATTGTTTTGGTAAATCAGAGGTTATCCACTTTGGTAGGAGGAACAAAGGAGCACAGCATTGCTTAAATGGTGAGAAATTAAAGCATTCATGTCCAAAGGGACCTAGGTATCCTTGTTCATTAGAGGCAAAGCTAACATGCAAATGTATCGAGCAATTCAGAAGGAAAATAGTTTGTTGCCCTATATTGCAAATGAATGAGTACAAGTACAAATAGGTCTTGCTTCAATTGTACAGCACACCGTTGAGCCCGCTCCTGGAGTATTAAGTGGAGTACTCGCCTCTTGCCAATGGAAGGATATTCTTGCAATGGAGAGAGAGGAGGTTTACCACACTGATTTCTGAAGTGTTGGAATTGCCTTATGAGGAGAGATTGAGGAGATTGGCCATACATTCTCTGGAGTTTTGAAGAATGAGTGATGGTCTCAAACAAACTTACAAAATTCTTGGAGGGATGGATAGAGTAGATGCAGAGAAGATGTTTCTCCTGGCTGAGGAATCCAGAAACAAGAGATACAGTCTCAGAATAAAAGGTAAGCCATCTTGGACAAAGAGAAGGAGAAATTTCTTTACTCAGATAGCGGTGAATCTTCGGAATTCTCCAGACAGAGGGCTGTGAGAGTCAGTCATTATGTTCAAGACAGAGATTGATAGATTTCCCATCAATGAAATTAAGGGATATTGGCATAGCCATAGTGCAAAATGGCATTGAGG